AACCCGAACTTTTTCCTAGTAATCATCTTTTAACTTCTTGTTCGGAGGTGGGAGTGATGTCCCCGTACCGTACTGTGGCCATTATGATTTACTTTTGAAACTAATCTTTTAGGTTAATTATAAAACACAGTTACATACAAAACCTTGAGTACTTCTCAACATAAGGGCGAACAAAGAGATTATAAGTAAGAAATAAAGAAAAATGGTAGTTCTTGTGATATATTAAGGAAGATAATACAACAAGAAAAGGAAGGGGTAAGTTTTGTGCCACTACTAGGTTAGGTTTAGTTAATGTGTTTGTTCATGTGATAGCATCACAATTATTCTTAGAGATAAGATTTTTTTGGAAAAAAATGAACTTATATTCTCATGGTAGTTGATATCATTTTTTAAATATAATGTTTAAATCATATCAAGTGCTATGAGAATATTAGATCATTTTCTTCCAAAAAAAAAAAGTCATTTCTAAGAATACTTGTGTTGCTATCACACGAACAAACGCACAAACTAAACCTAACCCGACAATCGCAGCCGAAGCCACACAAAACTCGCCCCTTCATTGATATATACCGTGCATCGAGTACATTGTTTCCCTTCAAACCAACAAATGCGTCACCCATGGAGATTGACACTACTATCCCGAAACATCGCACCCTAAAGTTTGATTAATCTCTTGAGTATTTCAGGCATCCTTTTAAATTGGGTGATATAGTGAAGTCAATCAAATAATCGATCTATCAACATATATACTCGTGCGATACAACCCTAAGTCTTACCCATTTGTCATCCTTTAACTTCTTCTTACACACCAAGAGGTGGTGATGCTCATACTACTCTATGATCAATATAATTTACTGCTAATCAAATTGATTTTTAAAGTCAATTATTAAACACAGTTATATACAAATTGTTGAGTGTTTCTCCACATAACGGTGAACGTATGAATCATCCAAAAGAGTTGCATTGTTTAGTGATGAGTTATCCAAATTATTTCTTACGATACAGGTTCAAATGAAACAAAACAAGTTATGTCATAAATGCAGCAAGCATAGACATTGAGCGAACAACCAAATAACTGCAACAAGGAGAAGAATAGAAGGAAATGAATTCAAAGTAAGATACATTTCATACTCATTCAAGATGAAAGAACTTCAAATGAATTCAAACATAATCAATCGCATGCGTTCGCCTTCTGAAGAAAAATCCTGGACATTTACGTCATTTCATATGTATTGCACATGTGCTAAAGTGCCTTACTGACAAGCATAGTGCTAAAACAAGCCAAAAGCAAGCAATCGTTCTACCGTTAGACAAGTAATGCGATGAATGATAAATTGCCATATCCAATTGTACTAAGTTAATATGTGTCATGCATCGAGGATGTTGTTTATCTCCGAATGAGCAACTGCAATACCCATTGAGATTGACACTACTATCTCGAAAATCTCATCCCAAAATTTGATTAATCTCTTGTGTATTTTAGGCAGTCTGCTAAATGGGGTGGTAGAGTTAAGTCAATTAAATAATTGATCAATTAACATATATACTCGTGAGATAATAAAGGAATAAGCCATTAAAATCAAAGATACAACCTTAAGTCTTGCCCACTTCTCATTCTTTAACTACTTCTCACAGGGGTGGTGGTCCCCATACTGCTCCATGGGCAACAAAATTTACTGCTAATCAAATTGAACTTTAAAGTCAAATATTAGACATAGTTACATTCAAACCGTTGAGTGTTTCTCCACACAATGACGAAAGTACAAATCATCCAAAAGAGTTGCATTATTTAGTGATGCGTTGTCCAAATTATTTCTAGCGATTAATAGGTCTAAATCAAACAAAACAAGTTATGTCATAAATGGAGCAAGCTTAGACATTGAATGAACAACCAAATAACTACAACCTATGTCTTGCCCAGTTGTCATTCTTTGACTTCTTGTCCGATGTGTTGGGGGTAATGTCCCTGTCATTGTGGTTAAGGTGACCACCATGAAGTAAATTACATCGACTAGAGTATTCACCACTTCAATGTTGGAGCAAACAATAACCCCAATGAACATATAAATAACCGAAACAATAATGTTGTGTAGAAGGAGTCTTGATGTTTGCTTATCCATTTTGTCTATACAAGAACAAACTTAGTTAAATGAATCTCGCAAATAATGAGAATAACAAGGATATCAAGCAAAAATATGTCACCGCATTCAACCCAATCATAAGCTTTCTTGTTGTCAAGTTTTATCACCATTTTTTATCCCGATATGTTGGTGTAAACTTATTGAATGAAGCGTCTCAAAGGTTTCTCATGAAACGCCCAAATTTCAATTGTCTCCTAAAACATTCACCTGCAAAACAATAGGTGCTAAATATCATTCAAACCTCTCATTCACATCACTCAAGAATAACAACTAAAGATATGTGTGTTAATTTTTCAATTTTTTCATTCTCTCTAGTGGATGGTGCTCTTTCTATTCACGTCTCCTCTATTTCCAAAAATTTGTGGAAATTAAACTGATTTCTAGAAGTTTCAAGGACTAATTGTTACAAGTTCACAACATTGAAAGCTTCTAGCTCTGAAATGGATTTTATCTTTGAACTGTTTTGATAGAAACTTTATGGTACATATGAAGAAAATTAATAATGGATTAAAATTGAAGGAAAGCTTTGGTTTTTGGTTGTGAAGCGACAAATTTTTTTTAGAAAGTCCAAAACCATTAACTATTTATGTTTATATGAAATTATATTGGTTTTTAAGCTTATAGATTATGGGTTCTCATTTGAGCTTTAAATCAAAACAACAAGATACTTTTAGGTGGGGTGATTGAAGTTCAAACATTACTGGGCATTCGCTTGTTAAGATGGTGCACAATCAGAAAATGATGAGGTTAGTTGTCAATGGATCGGATTTTGATCCGAATTCGGTGTGATTAATAGGAGATGGATTAGACTTCTTAATCTAATTACAATCCAAATCTTATAATCTGATTATGAATGGATCTGAATATGGATTATAGTTTATCCAATCTGACTTAGTATGAAGTATAATTTAATTTTTATATGCTTAATATTAATATTTTATATGTGTAAATGAGTGATTTTAGTTTTATATGCACTAAGAATTTGCTTAAAACTAATTTTTATGATAAAATATCAAAATTATTATAAATAGATAAATACAATAAAAGAACGATACCACTAATGAATTTTTGATTTTTTTATATATGTCAAAATAAATCCGATCCGATCTAAATTTAATGCTTAACGGATATGGATTGATAGGTGCAATCCGATAGTTCGAATACGATTCAAACCCGATATCAGTTTGGCTTTGCAATATAAGATGTGGAAACAAAGAGAGACACACAAAGGAGAATAGTGGGGAAACTCTCTGAATACGACGTTGTATGTACGTCATGATATTAGAGATAAACAAAATGCAATTGATAAGGATTATAGAACTCAAGGTAAATTGAGGGTGTCATTTTCCCTATATTTACCATGAGCTATAAAATCTTTTCCCAAATTTGGACTTACCAAACATCCCTTTTCCTGCCAACCAAACACCACATAAGGTTTGTATATATATAAGTTATTTATACTAACACCCCTTGAGGTTTTCAAATTTTTCACAAAACTCCATGAGGTTTAAGAAATTACATAAACACCCCTTAAAATTTTAAATTGTTTTCACAAAACTCATTTTCATTGATTTTTCATCCAAAGATTGATGATTTTATACAAAAAAGAAACTCCAAATGACAAAGTTTGCTGCTGAGATTAGATTGCATATACATCCATTGAGGTTAATTTTGTCATTTGCATAAGTTTTTTTTTTTTTTTTTTATAGTGAAATCATCAATTTTTGGACAAACAATCAATGAAAGGGATTTTGTGAAAACAAATTGAAACCTCAAGGAGTGTTTGTGTAATTTTTTAGACATGATGGAGTTTTGTGTAAGGTAGGCATCAATCCTGTCGAAACCGATTAAAACAGCATATTCGAACCGTAAGTACCGGTTTGGTTTTTACTAAGTAAAAGTCAAACAGTTTAAAACCCAAACCGGACTGTATATTAGTTGGTTTGGTTTGGTTTTGAGCTTTTATAAACCGGCTTCAACTGGACTAGACCGTCTACTTATATATATATATTTTAAATTTTACACGTGTATGTGTAGTCCTCTAATTAGATAATAACTAGATATGAATGTTGAATTTGAAGTTAGATAGACCTTTGTAGTTGTTGATATTTAAATTGTAGCTATATTAGTTACTGAAATTTGAAGTTTTATGGAATGTTGAGTTTTAGGATGGTTTGATATGCCATAAAATGAAAAAAGTATGTAATTGGGCTAATAATGTTGAAAAAATGCAAAAGTAAAGATAATTGGGCTTAGGCCCAAACCGGTTGAAATAAACCGAATCAATCCGTTTAACATTGGTTTGGTTTGGTTCAATTTCCTTCATGCTTTTTATCAAAATCGATCAAAATCAAACGTTATACTGTAATTAGTTCAGTCACAATTTTAATGTGAAACTGATCCAATCAGTACTGTGCCCACTTCTAATTTTATGAAAACACCAAAAACCTGCGGGTAAGTGTAAATAACTCAAAAAAACGTTTCAAGTATGTAAAACAAAGGTGGCAGCATAGTAATGTTGTTTGCCTCTACTGTTTAGCGCGTAGAGAAGCTATGGCCGTATTCTTTTTTTTTTTTGGGTTATCTATGTATAATGTCACTGATATAGTTCAAAACCAAGTTCAGCGCCTCCATCAATATTTTCTTCTGCACGGAGTTTATTATATTATTTTCCTTCGCTCCATTTAGTAGTATTTGTCCAATCACTTCGATTAGCTTCTCAAACACAAACACCCCTCAATTCTCAGCATTCCCACATGCTTTGTTCGCATATTCAAAACCCTTTCAAGATTCAGGGTTTGCCAAGATCCATATATCCCCCATAAAGGCTGCGTCTGATTGTTCTACTCTACTCTACATTTCATTATTCATTTGATTCTTGATGACTTGGGCGCTGGGTTTTGGCGTAAAAGGTGAATTTGGGTTGGTGGGTATTTGAAGAAAGAGCAGAAGGGTTTGTTTATTTGTTGATGGTGGCTTTGTGATTCGTAGTGTGAACTGGTTTACTGGGTGTTTGATAAAAAGCGCCAGAGGGGTTTTCTTGGGGTGGAAATATGGGACATAGTTCGAAGAAGAAGAAGCGTGGAGGAGGAGGGAGTGGGAAGAAGAAGAAGGCCTTGAAAGATCATGGGGCTTATGTTGGTGGTGATGATAATGAACTTCTTTCTGAAGAGATCACTGCCTTGTAAGTGACTCTTCTTCTTAAACTTTTTTTTTTGGTAAAGACTTCTTAAACCCTTTTCTTCTTCAAAGGAATTGACTCAAAACTGCATGGGGAAAACAATGTAATCATCATGAACAGCATGGAATGAAAACTTGAACAGTTGCACACAACTGGATGTATATTTGACAACTTCGGATATGGTTCAAGCCTTCTAGGGCCTAGGATTATCAGAAATTCAAATGGATTAATTGATAAATGTTTTTCAAATCAAAATGGAAACTGTACTTTTGAAAATAAATTTTGTTACACGAATTTAAACAATAATGTTCCTTTTTAAAGGTAAGGGGTGGGTCTTGCAACTCGGAGGACAAAATAATGAAGTTCTTTTCATTTTACGATATTTTCGCCAATATAAACCTCTGACAGTGGTTTCAGTGTCATCACTGAAATGGATATTGATTCGAATGCACTATCTAAATTGTGGTTTTTTCTTTTCATTTGCCCTTTTGCACCGTACGCTAGTCACTGCACAACAGAGCATGTTTTGCATGGAGGTTGCATTTTTTCCCATTGTGTCTAAAGCTTATCCTCTACCCATAGTCACGTTGTATTATATTTGATTATCGCACATTTTCCATCCGCTTCCTTCTCTTGTAGTTACTTTTGGGTATTCAAGCGTGCTAGTTTAGTTACCTTTTGGGTCATTTGAGGAACAGATCTGGATTTCTTTTGGGTGTTCAAGGGTTCTAGTTTGAGCCTGCTGGGTTCTTTTCTCTGTATTTTCTATTTTTAATGTAACTTTATGAGCTTCTAGCTCAATCCTTGGGAGGTGTGAAGGAGACTGTAGATTGGGGAGAGGTAAGATTTAGGTGATGCAGTAGATTAATAGTAATCTTTTTATTTGGTCCACTGTGAGCCTCCAAAACCGGAGAGGGTCTATTTGACCTCAGGCATTTCATACAACTCAAAGGGATTAATATATTTGACAGAATTATTATTATTATTTTTGTTTAAATTTCCCTTTTTTGTTCTTAGTGATTTCTTATGACTTCCGTACAGTAGGTCACTTTTTCTAAATTTAAATCAATAATTTACGACTTGATTTGAGTGTTGTGCATTGCTTTTTTTTTTTTTCGGGTAAATGGTTACTTGAAGAAAGCTGTATCTTTCTAGGGCAATTTAGTGGTTTCTTTATTTGTTTTCCCTTTCTTTCGGGGTTATTTGAGTGCCTTTCCTCTTCTATCCCCTTATATGATAATATCCATTATTTACCTGGACAAGAAAGAAGGCATGACCACAGAAAATGTTTCATAAAATTTTTGATGTTGGAAGATCTGATTGTTAAAACTTTTTATAGTTCTACATTATCTCCTACCAAGCGTAATATTTTATTTGTGGTTATGTAATTGAAGTAACGCAGTTGGCTCTTCCTGGTATTTGATTACAAAACCTACCACAAAATTCTATTACAAAATGTATTTCTGTTCCAGGGACAATAACCTGGATGGTTGTAAATTAATGTCTGTATATATATATATATATATATATATTAATTATGCAAATTGTAAGATATTCTGTTTATAAAAATGCTGATGTTTCTGTTTGAAATTCATGATAATCATCTAAGGAATTTAATTCTATCTCATAATTTTATTGCTATTCTTCTGTGACGTTTAGGTGTGCAATATTTCAAGACGATTGCAAAGTTATGTCTGGATCCCATCCTCAAATCATCATTAAGCTTAAGTATGTCTTATTTGGTTATAGCTGAATGCAATGGATCTAGATTCTAGACTAGACTCCTCTTGATTGAATTTTGTTCTCTATTGTAACAGGCCTCACTCGAAGGATATGGGTTATGAGGATCTAGATGTTTCTGCACTTCTTTTAGTTAGGTAAGTGAGGTTCTGTTCAATGTTGCTTTTATTTAAAGTTAATGCATATTGCTTCAATCCTTCTCATGGATCTTAATATTTTTGTTTAATAGGTGCTTACCAGGGTATCCTTACAAGTGTCCAAAGTTACAGATAACTCCTGAGAAGGGTTTATCACAAAGTGATGCTGACAGGCTGCTATCTCTTATTCATGATCAGGTATTACTCCTTAACCAGGATTTGATAAATCTTCAAGAAGTTCTTCTATACTGGAGTGGTTGATGTGGTTATAAATGCAACTTTTATTTCCCTGAATTCTAACAACAGTATATGCCGTAGCGGCTGCTAGCCCATTGACCAAGTGATGTAGGACACAGGTGAATCGAGTGTTTAGGTAATTTAGCGGAAGCGAAAACAATGGAAAACAGAAAATAGAACAAACATGGATAGGTCTGGAATCACTCCAGGGGTTTGGCTTCACACCAAGAAGTCTCCAATCTCTGGAAAATAAGCTTTACTCAATATCTCAAATCTCAACTTCCTAATGAATTACATGAGACGGGTATTTATAGCAAACTAAAACCTAGAGACAATAGGATAAAAAATCCCTTGCTAAAACAGAAATTCTAACCTAAATGAAAGAGGACACTTAGAAATCCTACTAAAATCTGGAAAACTTAAAAATCTTACTAAAATCTGGAAAACTTAGAGAACAAGTTAGAAACTAATCACGGGAATAAAAAATTGCCAGATTTAAAGACCAAATTAAATGACTTCCTCTCCCATCTCTTTCTTTTGTAAACTTTAATGGGTTTGACAAAGATGTCCTCATCACCAAGTTAGTTTTGAACTTTTGATATAATGAAGTATAAATATGAGGTTAATTTTCCAAAAGGCCACTTTACCTGAAACAAACTGTGCTCTTCTATCCAATATTCATTTCAAGAAACAATTTCATGTAAATATATACACTTGCATGGAGTATATCATTGGTTAGTCTTCTACATAATAAACTTGTTTGCTTCTTTTATTTGTTCTGTTTCAGGCAAATTCTAATGCTCGAGAAGGACGGGTAATGATTTTCAATTTAGTAGAGACAGCCCAGGAATTCCTATCTGAAGTTGTGCCAGTGAGCCAATCACATGGCTCGGTAAGACTTTTTAATCATCATATTAGTGCATTTGTTTGTGTGAGCAAATGCGTATACAAATGGTATATGTATTACATCGATATATTACATGTGTGAAACATCTTTCGTGCAGATCTTTTCTTCTTGTTCTGTTATTACACTTTTGTTTTGTTGATTCAAATGTGTATGCAATTCTGAATAAAGATGATTACTACTTGTCATCTTCAAGGTCTTGATTATTCTTGGATTTTGACATTCTCGCATCGGTTGCCAATCCCATGTTTTGTTATCTGTAGTTTAATTATGGAAAGTACTTGAATTATAGACAAACAAAATGATTATAAAGATTAATTGCGTTTTATTCGTATCATACATGATACTGTATGATACATGGTACATGATTTTAAGACAATATAATATTGGCAACTACAGAGACTACATTTTTTCTATGTGTTATTTTGAATTTGATGAGAGATTTTTAGTTTTAAGCTTTTTCAACTTGTAGAGACAAAACTTCACTCATATTTCTTAACAAATTTTTTGACTTTTCACTACTTCCCTACTCATTATCCAATTGATGGTTTTTTTGTTATATTTATTTCAAATGGAAGGTAATATGTCCGACTATGGGTAGCAGTGCTCAATTGTTTCAGAAGGACATTGCAATTTCAAGTAACAAGAAGGGGCCTTTTGTTTATGGTTTCATAGACCTATTCAGTGGTTCTGGAGAGTCTTGGAATTGGGGTTTTGGAGTAGATGAGACCAGTGGGATAAATCCTTCAGTCCCATCGCACACAGTGGATGGCTCCAAAGTCAAGCATGAGATTCAGGAAAAGAAACTTGATAGGCATGCAGAACCTTTGAATTTACAAGATATAAAGAAAAGTTCATTACTTTCCTCTACTGTCAAATTAGACAGCCTTGAAGAAGACAGTGAAGATGGCAACAAGAGCATAGCTTCTACTAATTCTAGTAGATTTTTGTTGGAAGGTTTGGTAGGCAATGGTGGTAAAGCTGAGAAAGAGGTGAGTAATATACTACCTTTTTTTGTAGATAATATAACATGCTTTTATTTGATTTTTAGTGCACAATTTTGCATGAATTTCACATTACATATATGTTCGTATTGTCTCTTTGTCATATTACATATATTGTATCCTTTTCCGTATTTACTCTTGTATCTTTTCAATATTAAAGTGTGACTAGAGATCTAGCAGCCTGTTAGAAGGCACAATAAGGAGATTTGAGGACAGATTATTATATATGGTTTTGCTGTCTTTGGTTGGAGAGATACAGGAGGGCTTTTGTTTGGAAGGAACATTTGGTTTTGGAGTTGAAAGATCACCGTTTTTCTAAGCTTTATTCGAATTCTCTCAAAGGAGATATATATTTTCTTCTGCAGTAGATCTTTGGTTTTGTCTCCACCTCTACCATTTGTGCACTGAGCTACAGTTGAATTGACATCTTAATGCTCCAAAATGATTGAACCCTGGAGTTCTCTTGGTATGGTAGTAAAATGAATCATACCCCAAGGCTGAAGAGCAATGTTTTATTTTTATTTTGTGTGGATGAATGAAGGTGGAGGGAAGTTAGAACAAGTTATACCAGAAACCCATTGCATAGAAGGCAAAGTGACCTAGACAGCAGTTGTTCTTTCTGGACTTTCTTGTTTGATAATGTCATTTCGGTTTTGCTGTCTGTTTCTGTATAGAAAGTTTGTTTTGGACATCCTTTGATACCACAATATACTTATATCCTTTGACAGAATTTGGTTCTTGAGGAGGATTCAACAGAAGATGATTGCGAATTCGGAAGTGAACAATCAGAGTCACTCTCGTTTGCTTCCTTGGGTCATGATCAAGTGTCTCAAACTGTTAAAAAGGATCTTATAATGGTAATATCATGTATTCTTTTCTTTTGTACACACAGAATTTGATCCTAAACTTTCTATTGGGTGCTGTTTCCTTTTATGTTAGGTTCATCTGCTCCGTCTTGCCTGCACTTCTAAGGGACCTCTGGCTGATGCTTTGCCACAAATAACCACAGAATTGGAAAACTTAGGGGTATGCAGTTCATTTCATCCTGTTTAGTTTTGATAACTCATATACTTTCCAGATCCTGATCTCTGTTAATTTCATTTCCAGATCTTATCGGAATGGGGAAGGGATTTAGCATCTAAACCACCTTCACTTTTGAATAGAACTTTTAATCATGCTTTTAGAGAACATATGGTAGGTCATCCCCCTTCTTCTTTTCTTTGCTGCTATGAACTGGCTTCTAAAATCAAATTCACATTACTACATGCCTTGTTAATTTTATCTAGGTTTCATCGCGAGTCTCTCAATTTTGGGAACCCACATCTGATTTTGAAGGGCCAAGTACATCTCTCCCAAGCTCTCGATATCTTAGTGACTTTGAGGAGCTACAGTCCCTTGGTAAACAAAAATTGTCGTTCTTTTTTTTGTTTGTTTTGTTTTCATCATAGCTTAATTGTTGTTCTTTGTGTGTGTGTGTAGCTACTAGCTAGGTAGTTAATTAGGGGATCTTAGTTGGTTGAGCTAACTATAGTTTGGTTAATAAATCCAAAAAAGGTTTGTAGATCCCAGGGGGTGCCCGTCCATGGTAGACTAGAAATTATTATGTGAGATGATATTTTACTGATATGCACAAGAGGTTTTTCATGCCCAAAAGGAAATATAAAATTTCTTGTGTTGATGTATGCTATGCAAAAGCACTTGAAAAGCAGCTTGTCATTGTAATTCTTGCCCTTCATTTTAGCCTTGAAGGGTGCAAAACTGTTGCAGTGGCATTATTGTAACTAATAGGACAGCATTATGAAAAGGCTCTTGTGTAGAAATATGTAACTTCTCCCCTTCATTCTCCCAAGCATTTTGAGTTCGAAATCATAGATCAAAATGGATAGAAAAGTTGATGACGAACAAGTAATAGTGGTTAAACTGTTCAGTTGGATGAAGTTGAAGGTTATTATTATTTTTTTCCATAGACTTTTGGGTTTGAAGGTACAGGTGTTGATGGATGATAAAATGATGTGGATGCTAAATCCACATCCCTCGGGGGAAACAACCAGAATACTATTATTCATCTCAAGTGGTGACTTCGGAACCTCCTAAGTTGGCAAGATTATCCATAGTGGAGAACACCATTAAAGGCATGAGGATTCATGTGAGCATTGCAAGTGAAAAAGCAAAGGGAGAGAGTAATTCATTTCCTACTGCGCTATTGGATAGCCAAAGATATAATATCAGTTTTCTTACCTCTATTTGGTGTTTATTGGATTGTGTCAGTTATTACAAATGGAATTGCTTGGAAGTTGTACCCTTTAGTTTGATTTATTGTGCCTGGGGGAGTAAATTGCTTATAAAGAAAAAAAAAAAAAAAGCTTAGAAGGCGTCAAGGTAGGTTTCTGTATATAGTTTTTTGTTTCCTTTAGCTTGGCAAGGTATGTGTTTCTGCTTGATGAGGAGGCGGTTGTGTTCGTGCAATAAGAATAGTTTCAAGTGTTAGGAGCTTCCAACCTTAGTTCTGGCATTTTTTTCAACTGACCATTATTGATTTCCTCTGTGCTTACTGGTTTTTATGCTTCTTGGACTTATTTTCTGGTCTTCATGGATGGCTTTGAGTTTTAGGAGCATACATTTTCTTTTAATTTTGACACATTGTTTCTCTCATTTTTTGAGGGGTTTTCTCTTGTATACTTATCTCTTACTTGCACTGTAAATAGTTTTTAGTTTTCAAAAGAAATTTAGTTTTATTATAACCAGTGAGGTTCTTTTCTCACACTGGTAACAGGTCATGGAGGCTTTGGCCATGTTGTATTGTGCAAAAATAAACTAGATGGAAGGCAGTATGCAGTGAAGAAAATTCGACTCAAGGATAAAAGCCTGCCAGTTAATGACAGAATATTGAGGTATATTAATGTTTGCCACAATCTGATTGAAATTTAGGGTCATTTAGCTTAGATAAACTTATATCTTTTCATAATCATATCTCAGATTGATTTGTGATGGGTGAATGGGTTTCTATTTTGTTCATTTTGAAATATTATGATATTTAATAAATATAAAAGGCAAAGTATGCATAATTCTGTTCTGGAAGGAAATTAATCATGGAGTGAACTTTGGTTACTGGGATTAAGGGGGTTGTCATCAATTAAAAGTTCTGTAGATTCTTATAGAGTTTTTAAGCAACATGCTATTGTAGACTTCATAATTTCTGTTATGATTTTTGTATTGGGCCAAAGGGATGACTTTTGTAGACTCCACATAGTTAAGTGGACTACCTTTGAAGAACTTTATGTCGAGTCTGATAGGGTTTGGCAGATTTCTTTCATGTATTTGTACAGATTCTTGAAGAATATATTTTCTCTCATGTTTAGGTGATTTTTTGACAAATAAATTTTAAGATGTATTTTTGCAGAACTTAACAGTAACCGAAAGATCTGCAACCCGTAGGCCTGGTGGGCTCAGACCAATTATTTTTTGGCCTGCCTCAACCTGCAAGACACGTGTCTAAGCCCGACCCATAGCCTAGATTTTATACCCTTAACCCTTTTTGTTTTCCTTATCTTTTTTTATTCATTTTCCTCTTTATGTTTTTTTTCTTACCATTTTTCGCATTGATACTTGTTAGTTTGTTTTGTATTGATAGTTTTTTTTTCTTTCTAACAAACTTGTTTACTTCTTTAAGCTCTTACAAACCTTTCTTGTACAATTATTTGTATTCAACATTTTTTTTCGCCCATTCATACATTTCAATCAATAAAACGCTTCAACACAAGTTTAAATCTTTCTAATATATTATTTAGCTATATGTTTAAAATATGTAGTTGAACATAAATTTTGTCCGCTATTTTTTTCCCCATTATATCTTCTAAATTTGTTCGTGGTTTAACTTTGGCGAGATACTTAGGGAAGTAGCCACACTTTCTCGTTTACAGCATCAACATGTTGTACGATACTATCAGGTAAAACCTTTCTTATTTCCTGCTTTTGCATTGTGGCATGTATCTGTCCTCAATTATGCAATAATTTCTTTGTTGTTTTTAGCTTCTATGAATTTGTATATTCGATATTGTCTTGGCTTACATTTATTTCAAAGCAGCTTGCCACTTTATTTGGGTGACTTCGTTAATTAAGCTATTTGGTGGCAATCTTTTGTTTCCACAATGGTGCTAATATTTGCAATCATGTGCAGGCATGGTTTGAAACAGGTATTGTTGGTGCTCATGGTGATACCACTTGGGGTTCAATGACTGCAGCCAGCTCCACTTTCAGCTTCAAAGGTACAAACTCAGCAGATGCTCTTGGGCATGAGAATAAGCTTGAATCGACGTATCTGTACATTCAAATGGAATATTGCCCTAGGTAAAACTTTTCTTGTCTTAAGATCTTCTCAAAGAATAAAATTTTATGATGTGTAGTGATTGATTAGTTTTCTACCATTTGACATCTGTAATTACTGAAACCAGATTCATCCTGGTATGTTTTGCGCCATTGCATTACCTTTATTTCTTTATACGACTGAGAACATTAAGCTATGCCAAAATTTTGTTGTCAGTAAAACTTTTTTATTTTATTATTACCAACCTGATCTGAGTCCAAGTAAGGTGTGTGGTTTATTGGTTCAGAGTTCATCATTCCTCATAGTTTGTGAATAGAAACCTGCTAATATGATAACATTACTAGGCTTGCAAACATTGATCGGGAGTGAGTTGAATTTTTAAATATATGACGTTTGATATTGTCTCAATGGAAAATAGGTGAAAGGTATGCAAGATTGAAAAAAATTGAAATCAATAATAAGCGTACAAATGAGATGCACGAAACTTTCTCTACCGACCCACTTTTTTTTAGCTAATTATCTGCAAATGAGGTTGGTTTGCCAACAACCCCTTATTGAACAAAGATGTGTGTTTTCGTTTTCATATGGTTGAACTTAAGATTTCATTCCGTCAATTTGGTTTTATAAATCCCTTAACAAAATTTTGATTGCTGAATTTTCTTATCATGTGTCGTTTAATTTTTTTATGTCTTTTTTTGGTATGGTATGGTTTGAAGGACTTTACGCCAGGTTTTCGAGTCGTATAGTCGTTTTGACAAAGAATTAGCATGGCATTTGTGTCGTCAAATTGTTGAAGGCTTGGCACACATACATGGACAGGGAATCATTCATCGGGACTTAACCCCAAGCAACATATTCTTTGATGCGCGCAATGATATTAAAATTGGGGATTTTGGTCTGGGTAAGTTCCAGATTTTGTAATATTTACTCCTTAGTAAGTGTTAGTTTGAGAACTATGCTGTCCAATTTTTATGTACCTGCAGTCAGGTCCTTTTAAAAGCATTTTGTCAAGAATGCCAGAGGAAATTCAAATAAGCTTATTGTATGCCAACTCTTATAACTGCGAGAACATGGTTGGAAAATGCATGAGGATGAGCTTCACACTTCATGACTATTTTCTGTCGCAAACTACTGTTCCAAATGAAAGTCTGTTTCTTTTGGACATACCAATTTTCCTTTTGTAGAGGAGTCTGCTTGCTGATAACATGAAAACTATTTACACACATAACTCATGAATTTTATACTCGAAGATGTTTGCTAAAAGTCAAGATTTGTATGCTTAACAATAATGTAATTTGTTTTGTTTCAGCCAAGTTTTTGAAGTTGGAGCAGTTGGATCAAGAACCTAGTTTTCCTCCAGATACAGCTGGGGTTTCTCTTGATGGTACTGGCAAAGTTGGTACATATTTTTACACTGCTCCTGAAATTGAGCAAGGATGGCCAAAGATTGATGAAAAGGTAAATGTTTGATTGTACTTATTTTTGTTATTTTTTTTCAATAATTTACACAATATGGAATGTGCTAGTTGTGCTTCAGCTTTAATTGCATGTAATTTTCTTTTATTCAAAATAATATCAGGTAAACATCATTGAGTCAACTTGGATTGCAGGCTGATATGTACAGCTTGGGAGTTGTATTCTTCGAGCTATGGCACCCATTTAGGACGGCAATGGAACGACACCATGTCTTAACTGATTTGAAACAGAAGGGCGAACTTCCTCCTGCTTGGGTTGCTGAATTTCCTGAACAGGCATCTTTGTTGCGACGCTTAATGTCTCCAAGTCCATCAGACCGTCCTTCTGCCACAGAACTTCTAAAGCATGCATTTCCACCACGAATGGAATCCGAGTTATTAGACAGTAAGTGGCAATTGTGATCTTTGTATTTACCTTATTAAGCTAATCTAAGTAGAGGAGTGAGCAGCTTGCAAGCACGGTTCATTTGCACCTCTAACTATAATGTTCCATCTATTTAAAAGCTCTGCTATGCTTCTTTGATCTAATTGCAAAATAATATAGCTGTAGTTGTTGGCGCTGTGATACCAAGCGTATATTTAACATTTAAACATTTGTACAACTTAATTAAAATACCTTTAAAAGGTCAAACAATAATAGAGGATAAATGAGAATAACCAAGTAATATAATGTGATAGACAGGGTTTCCAAGTTCCAATACTCCTCTCAAGCTGCAGGCAAGATGTCCTTGAAGTGCAGCTTAACTATAGAAGCCTGAAGTAAGACGACCTAACTGGTTTTGCAGACATATTAGCTCTCTGCTTGAATGGTGGAACAAATGCTAAGGCAATGACACCGAAGTGAACCTTCTCTAATAAAGTGAATATCAGCCTCCATGTGCTTCATTAACTCATGTAAAACAGAATCCGAAGCAAGTATAACAGAAAACTTTTATCACAAGATAACGTAGTTGAATTTGTTGCTGTAAATCCCAGCACATCAAGAATTGATCAAAGCCATAAGCCTTTGCATGATAACAGAGGATCTAGAGACTACATGTTGCTTCTTACTGTTCCATGAAATAACAGTTATTCCCATGGAGGGTATATAACATTTATATGGACCAATGATTTATACATGCACTAGCATAGTTCACATTAGTGAAACATGAGCATGACTTCAAATAACGTAAAATGTGGTGAACATCCAAATGAAATGTCCAAGGTAAAGTGTCTAGCCTGCATCCAAGAATCAGCTGTAACAAGCCCAAAATAGTGCTCTGTGATAAAGATACTACATGAGTCAGCTTGTCCAGAGGACCTATTCATTCTTTTTTTCTCTATCTCGTCAGTACTTCATATGTGTTAAAGTCCTAATAACCTTTTGGAATCACTCCATTCTGTGGGGGATATGTGGTCATCATGACAGTTTCCTTTCTTTCATAGTATTTACAGATATAGAATTTGTTTTTACCTAGTGTTTGTCCAGCATGAGCTCAAAGGAAGGATGGTGAAGATGTTTCTTGTGATTCATAATATTTACACTTGTTCTTCTTTCTAAGCATATGTAGAATTTTATAACTGATTCAAGATGAGTTTTGAGTAGCTTGACTAAATGATTTCCTTCAATATGATCAGATATTTTACGAACAATGCAAACTTCAGAGGACAGAAGTGTATATGATAAAGTTCTGAATGCCATCTTCGATGAGGAGATGTTAAGCATGAAAGATCAGCAACATCATGATGGAAGATTGGGATCTGTAAGTGATATTTCTGCTATTCAGTACGCAGATTTACACACTGAGGCTCGTGATTATGTCGTTGACATCACAAGGGAGGTGTTCAGACAGCATTGTGCGAAACACCTCGAAGTAATAACCATGCGTTTGCTAGATGACTGCCAACAGTTCAATAGGTTCCTATCTTGAACTCTTTGTAGCCATGTTTACTATAATGTTTACTGTTACCTTCTCTTTCTTATTATATGCTAGTTCATGCTAGTTCATGCTAATTATTTGTTATATCTTACAAGGAACACTGTCAAACTTTTAACCCATGGAGGAGATATGCTTGAACTTTGTCATGAGCTGCGCTTGCCTTTTGTTAGTTGGGTGGTCTCCAGCCAGGTATTAAACATAACGAAATAAATATGACTTGTTGCTTGTTTTTCTTATCCCTTTCATTCTTGTTGTCCAACATACACCAAATGAAGGTTTTTAGTTTTTAAGTCAAGTCGTTATCCCTTGGCTGATCGTGCTATCCTAATTTAACTCTCACGTGTTTGTGTCATGTTCTGCACCTTTGAAGTTCTGCTTGCGTTTTGTTATTTTTCGTCTGGAAGCTAAGCGTATTTATATACTACGTAGATATTGTCCATGCAATGCATAGATTGGCAATATTATCAGAAAATAGGTTGTGTATTAAAAGAAACTAGTAGTTTGATAAATGGTTGAAGTAAAAACAGTAAAGTGATTTAAGCTGTTTATTATATATGCTAGAAATGTAATTAGCTCATAGAAATTATCTTGTAGGTAGGTTATTAAAATATAATAGAAAATGATATTTGCTAGAAGATCAAAGTTCTGAAGATAGATCACTGCCAACAGAAAGTGGGAAAGATGCATTTGATCCTGATTTTAGCAGGAGCTGTAACTTTTATTTGTGTTGGGCTAGTAGTTTGTTAACATAAATTTTTTTCGAAGATAAGAGCAGTATAATGTTTCCATCAAACAACCAATGCCTAGTTTTAATCATGTATTCCACCGTTGCAATGCCCTGAGGTCTTTATTCAGTTGACAATGATTTCTGTGGAAGAGGAAATCATTGTTTTATGCTAAACTGAGATAGGTTTCTTTATAAGATGAAATCATTGCTTTATACAGTTTATATTATTCTACCCGCTTCTTTTGTATCTAAAATTTTAAGTTAAAGTCAGGGGGCATAACTTGGCCATTCTACTTGTAGAAATCTTCATTCAAACGTTATGAAGTATCATATGTGCACAGAAGACCTGTTGGACATTCACCCCCAAGTCGCTACCTGCAGGTATTATTAAATGGATGTTTCTTATAGGTGTCGGTCTCTCTCTCTCTCTCTCTCTCTCTCTCTCTCTCTCTCTCTCTCTCTCTCTCTCTTTATATTTTATCTTAATAGAATTTTGATGTTTATGTTCAAAAGTTTACTGTGCTTTCTCAATGATTTTCTGTCTAAGTTGATGTAAGTTGTGGGTTTATATTACTACCTTTACTGTCAACAGGGCGACTTCGATATTATTGGAGGTGCATCAGCATTAACAGAGGCAGAAGTAATCAAGGTGATACATTATCTGATTTATTTATCTATATGCATGTGTGTGTGTCTGTTGGTATGCATGTGCGCATGTCACACGAGTGTTTGTGTGAACTTATTCGTGGATATGATGTAAACTGATGCATATTCTTTTTTATATTTTATGAAAAGTCCAAAGACTCATTTTGATTTTTATTTCTGTTTTTGTAAAATAATAATTGCGGCGTGGGAACATTAAGAAGTTATGCAGTAATTTCTAAAATGTCTACTGCTGTATGCATTGTAAAAAATTTATTCATTGACAGACCAAATTCTTTTCCTGGTTATATACCAGAAAAGGATCACCGTCAATACCTGAATATTTTGGAATCCATTATACTGAAAGGATTAAAGCACAGGGGTACTTCAACATTTTGTTTATTCTCATCTTTCCCAAAAAGTACTAAGAATTTCTGGGGTGTAGTGAATCCAAAGCGAAAGTGATGTGAATGTTATGGTATTGATATATATGTTGCAATCTTTTGCAGAGTAGCGTCCCCAATTTAATTACTTAATTGTCATGTTTGTTTCAGCAAGTACTACGGTATTTCTGGCCAATATTTATTTATTTGTTGGCGATTCACTGGCATGCACTGGCCAATGGTTCATGTGGTAGCATATACTTAATAAATGTGTCTCATCTTGCAGGTGACAAGGGACATTGTTGCTCCTTTTTTTAATTCAGATTTTTGTGATATTCATCTAAACCATGGGGACTTACTGGAAGCAATTTGGTCTTGGGTAGGAGTCAAGTCAGAGCATAGACAGAAAGTAGCAGAGGTAAACAATTAATGTATTTGGGACATTTCCGTAAATGATCTGTGTGTGTATTACCATTAATGGTACTCATTGATGCTACCCTTAATGAATGAAGCTCCTGTCTATGATGGGCTCTTTACGTCCTCAATCCTCTGAGCGGAAATCCAAATGGGTGGTAATCCGGCGTCAGCTTTTGCAGGTTTGATAAAAATTATAATGTACTTACACTTTCTAGCCTGTTAACAATTATAATTGGAACTACCGACTTCAGAAGACCAGCTGTTCATGTCTTTATGATTTGCTATATAGTTTAACATGTAGAAACCAAATAGGATTTGTAGCTAGTGTGATTAGCTTGTTATATTTTTATTTATTTTGTCTTCAAATTTAGTTAAGGTTGTGCATGGAAACTGATCCTGCATTTTTAGGAGTACTTTATTTTTTCCCATCAATAGTGAAGTGAACAATGTAAGGATTGTGAAATAGTGAAGTGAACAATGTAAGGATTGTGAAATGCTTTTCCGTGGACCAACTAATAAAGAGGATCAAATTATAAAAACTCAGTATATTTTTTTATAGGAGCTGATTTTTCCACTCCTCTTTTGTTCACTTACACTCCTTTTTTTGTTATAGTAAAAACTATTAAAAAAAAAAAGGGAGTGTAAGTGGACAAAAAAAAATCCCCACCCTTTATAAGGAACATACTTTCAGTAATGAAAACAGGGGAGAAGTTGTCCACTGGACAAGCAGACTAAACAAGTACAACAGTAACTCAGATGAAAGCATCCTATCATTACATGAATGAAACCCAAGATACAGCAGCACTCCAGTCATGAATAAATACCGAAAATAACTTCCCCAGACTATAAAGTAACTGACACCCAAAGGTAAGCCCAAAAGAAAACTCTATCCTACAGATGATCCACTCCCTCATCCCTTGCTCCTTCAGTTATCCTTCTATTTCTCTCCAACCACACTACTCAGAATTGTCAGCACAGCAAATCTCCTTACCTTTTTTATTTTTCTAACTAAGTTTCTAAATTATAGAAACTTTGCCTCAGTAGAGAAAGCTATGGAAGTGTATCCTTCGAGGGGCTGATTAAGATTTAACCAATTTTTTAGCCCCAGTAGACTCCAGCATAGCCTTGAACTTCAAGGGTTGGACTTAAATCCTATTTTGGTGAATCACTGGAAGGAAAAAAAATACCTTTTGCTAATTTCGTAAACTGGGTATTGTCCATTATTTTCTATAAAATAAGTTACTCGAAGGTTGTTTCTAGGTATACATATCCTATGTCTTCTTTCAATCCATGTGTGTTAGTCATTATTTTAGTTCTCTTTTAGAATATGTGAACAAGGCTCCTAACAAAGTTCATATGTCCCCTTATCCCTTTTATGAAAAATACCTATTTTAAGTGCATGAGGACATTGTCCGGTTGTGTTCTTCCAAATACCTAGCTGGAATATAGTGCTTGCCTTGGTGTTCGGAAACATTTTGATATGTCCAATGAAATAAGTTATGCAGGTGGTTTGATTTTACTGTGGGTTTCTAAGGATTAAATAGCTTACATTGCTTCAAGTTCAAGTGTATCTGGCATTTTGTTATGCTAACATGTATCACTCAGTCAATTGGCAGATCCAACTTGGTCAATTGGGATTCATAATTCAATTGGCTGGCATCTAATCATTTAGGTGGTTCAGAAACTTTCTGACATCCACCCCCACCTCTCCCTCAAGGATTGGTTTTGTGGCTCTCCGCTAAAATCAAATTGGGGTAGGTTCACCCTAAACTTCCACAATTGTATTGGTCAGTTTTCACATTAGGTACTGTACCCATGCAATTCTTAACCACATTCATACATCTATACAAATGCTTTTCATGGGATTGTCTCCTATGTTCCAAATTAAAACCTAGCGTGTAGATTAGTTTTTACAATGGGCTCATTGGCAAACCAAATCCTAAAGCACGCTCATACCTCCATCCAATCTTTCCTCATTGACCTATAGATTCACTAACTCCTCTAAGCCAGACTCAAGGTTATGCTATGTGGGCCTCAATGTTTGCCCCTTATTGATAAGTGCTTCTCCAGGAAGCACTTACTGGTCAATATGCAAGAAGCACTTGGATTTTTAATAGATCTTTGTTGTGCTTCTTACAAAAGTTCTAGTGGAAGTAGCGCTACTGACTATGGAGTAATAATGTGGTCCATGCAAAGTACTCCCAAACAAGTCCTAAGAGTCCTGGGAAGGTCCTGACCTAAATTTGATATGGAGCACACTCCATAAAACTCTGTACACAAGTCTACCTCTAACTCAGGATAAGGAAATTTATAACAGTTCGATCTCCCTGCTTAAACCTAGACTTGAAGAACTCCTCTAGCCTGTTGCGCTTAGAGATGTAAATTGAAATACAGTTCAAACACTGTTGAAACGGGGATTGAATTTACTCCAAACGCTGTTGAATCCGATATTCTTTCAAGGATAAATCTGGTAGCGCTGGAATTCTTAGAATCTGAGGGAAACTACAGAGAAGTTTTCCATTGAATGCTGAGTGGGTTCTACCTGTTTCATTGTTACAAGCCTAAATAACCTTCAAATACCCTCTGAATGACTGTTTTTAGTTGCCATCATTTATCAACCTTAACATGTCCTTGAATTCATTTCCCTTGCATAGATTGCATTTTGTTAAATATTTAGGTCTGGTTAATTTTCTCCGTGCATGCTCTATATTAGATGGAAGTACACCATGTTGCACTGATTATTTATTTCTTTAGCTGGACGACTAACAATTTTATTGAATGATAAAAATTGTTGCTTTGTGTGTTCGTGTTTGGAATGGAATCGATAAAACTTGGACATCTCTTATTGTATAAAGACTCCGTTGAGCTTCTCATATTTCCTGTAAAAGCACCCATAAACACATATAAATGTATGAGCTTCTCGTATTCCATTGAGTTTCTGCTTGAATTTTCGACGCATCTAACAGATTTCATATGGTTAAACTAGCATAAAAAGAGTTATGTCAACTCATTTGTGAAATACATGAGAAAATAATTTATTTCTAAATATAATATGAGCAGAAAGGATTATATATTTTTATTAATTATTTCCTTTTACAGGAACTTAATTTACCAGAAGCTGTTGTAAATAGGTTGCAAACTGTTGGTTTAAGGTTTTGTGGAGCTGCAGATCAGGCACTTGCTAGACTGAGGGGAGCCCTGCCAACTGGTATTATTGTCATGTTTGATTATACATGTACATCAAATGAGCGATGAGAATCATTTGCAGAAATTTAATGCAGATAAACCAACGCGGAAGGCACTTGATGAATTGTCAGATCTCTACAGCCACTTGAGAGTTTGGAGGATCGAAAGACACGTTTACATAAACCCACTTATGCCACCAACTGAGGGTTATCACAGAGATTTGTTCTTCCAGGTATCTTATCTTTAGATTTATGCTAATTTTCCTTTTTCTCTCCCAAAGAACCATATGGATACTTGAGTATTTCCTATCATTAAAAGTCAATAAAACTTATTCAAGATATGCATCTATGAGACGGTAATGCTAGTCCTGTAAGCATGTAGAATCGTTGAGGATTTACCTGAGTGAAGCATGGATGGCTGGTATGATCTTGAGCTACAGTGAGCTCGTATAAAATTCTGTTATTGTAAGTTTATGGTTAAAATCTTGATGTGAACTAGCCAGAATTGAATGAGAAAGTGAAAGTAACACACTGATTGAATGAAATTTTAGCTTGTCTACACACAATAAACACAATGGACAGTTGAAGTGTGCATGGATTGATCCATTACTGAAAATAAAAATGTTTTACAACCAAATGGGTGTTTACAAAATAATAGGTCAACATCAAACTGATCATAGCAAATTACATTTTAATCAAGCTACTTCAATCATGTGATAACACAAAAAATTACGTAGATTTCAAGATTACACTGATCTGTCTGGTCACAGAAAATTAAGAAAAGAATTCACTGCCCCCAAACATATAATTTCATCTCAAATAGCAGTTAAGTACAAAATAAAATAAGCAAATAATTCAACTACTACAACTTATTAGAACATGAATCTGAAATTCACACGTTAGTTTCCTGATATATGTATTCTATGTGCATGCCCCTTTTGTATTTGCAAGCATGTTCAAGTAATTTTGTTTTTTTATTATTATTTAGAAACATTTTTTATTAGGAAATATGATAGAACATAAAAAGCAAACAAGGAGTCCAGCAACAAACAGGATAAAACTGTTTGAGTGATTTTGTTTATAAGAATTTTTTGTAATACATGTCCTATCAATATTCTAGTACATGATTAATAATAAAATATATACGTTCTCTCATACCAAGAGTTGATAACAATTGAAATTTCTTTTTTTTAGTATTTATTAAGAGTTGCAATTTCTTTCCCAGGTATATTTAGTGAAGGATAACAATCCTGGATCACTTACCGAAGGTACACTGCTTGCTGTTGGCGGTCGCTATGACTATTTGCTTCGTCAAATGTGGGGTCTTGAACATGTAGGTTATACACGTTTACTTTCTTCTAGTTACCTTTTGTTCTTTACAGCAATACTTGACGTTACCGGAAAACACAAGATTTTTTAGTATGTAGATGCAGGTGAACCGTTGAAATGTGCTTGAGCTCTTTTGCAACTTTTGCTACTGCCCTTAATAACTACCTAAATTACTCAATACAGAATTTAGAACTGAATGTTAATATACCTCTTTAATGTGACTATTGCATGGAACATTATACTTGAATTCTTCTTTGTTATAAAACTCCACATGCTCCTGAAGTACTTTGACTCTGTGAAGGTTCATGTAAATTAAGCAATTGGATTATACGAAGAAATCAGGAGGTTTATAATATCAAATCTTCTGTATAATGCATTAAGACACAAGCAATGTGTTGAAGAATTTTATGATTATTAGTGGCTGTCAGAATTCAAAGTGTTGCTGAGTTATTCTATTCGTTTGAATATGCAGTGGAAGTCATCTTTTCTCCTCCTCCTTGTATCCCTCGATACATGATTTTTTAAAAACATCTTTTAACATCTCTCTTAGCATAACCGAGCGGCTCAAGCATCAAATTTGATCTTTCTTCTTGTATTGGTTGTCTTTTTCTGTTGTATGGTTATTTTTCATTTTCAACCATATTTCTTGAATTATTCTGTGTTTAATTTCGGGTGATTCAGTCAGTGAAGTTCTTTACCATGCTAGTGCTATTTCAGATGCTCAGAGATATTGATATGTTTATTAATTTGTCACATTCTCTATTCTCAGTTGCAATTAATATTGCATTTTTTAAAATGGCGTATTACTCTAGAGGTTTATATCTAAGACTTGCACCTAGTTATGATGTGTCTTGGAAGATTTTGGTAGGTGTTGCATTTCCTTCATCGCGAACCATTATGAAATGTAATAGGAAAAATATTACCAACCATACAAAAGATATTTATGTTACACTTACATCTAACCTATTCTCTTGTTCCTACATTGATAATGGTTTCTGTTTTCTGTTTGTCAGAAATCAAGTCCTCCTGGTGCTGTTGGAGCCAGCCTTGCATTAGAGACAATAATTCAGCATTCTCCCGTCGATGTTAAACCAATCAGGTAGATGTTTACTTGTTTGTTTATTTATTCTATCTTGTAAAGTTGCCATCATGGTTCACCATCTTTAATTTAATAAATTTCTGTCTTTTTTCTTTATTTTCATTCTTGCAGATATGAAGTTAGCAACGATGTTCTTGTTTGCTCAAAAGGAGGTGGTGGTCTATTGGCAGAGCGCATGGAACTAGTCGCTGAGCTATGGGAGGAGAACATCAAGGTTTTGAGATGGAATTTTTTAAGATTTAGGTTACAGAGTTATTGGTAATTGATGGTTTGTGCTGACTAGTGAGTCTTTTATCTATCAGGCTGAGTTTGTTCCAATACCAGATCCAAGTTTAACAGAGCAGTATGAATATGCAAACGAACATGATATAAAGTGCCTTGTCATCATAACAGACACAGGAGTTTCACAGAAAGGTTCTGTTAAGGTAATATATATGTGCTGATGTAGAAGTATTTTATATAAGGTCACAGGTAGCCTTGTCAATATGGTATGCAAATTACATTAAACACAAGTTACACAACAGCTTGATGTTATTGTGGGAGGGGTAGAGAGTCATATGGGAATGTTATATAGTCTGCTATGTTGTTAGACTGTTAATCGGGCAATTCATGTGTCTATATGTGTGTTTATATTGATACGACATTATTAAATATATTTATTTTGATGACTAAAAAGTTTTCTCCATGACAAGTAGAAATCTCAAGTAGCATCATTCTCAAATTTCATGCTATAAAAATGGAAATTTATGTCTCTCTAGTGATGAATAATAACTTAATAATTATGGCACCAGTGGTTGCCCCAAGTGGTGTTAGGAATTTTGCACTAATCCTGATTTAAAAAGAGAAAATAAATGCATAAATTAACACATGCAAGGTTTATGTGGAAAAACATTAGTAGCCCAAAAAACTATTTTGATTGTAAAAATGTCATTTTTTTTATGGGTAAGGCCATAAAGAATTGTTGTAATTTTGACGAGTTCCAAAAGGCCTGAAAATTTCAGAGATTTGACACTGTTATCCTTTTTCATTGCATCTTTATGATAGTAATTCTCACGAGGCTCACAACTTGTAAAAGTTTCTGATTGCGTCATGTAATTAATATGATAAAGAGCATCCTAGAGATTTATGAATTTTCAAGAAACTTAAATAGCATCCTTGAAAATTCAATAAAAAATGAAAGATCTTGATGGTGATGCTGGGGGCTGTTTGGAGAGAATTTCTTCTCCCCAGATCTATTATGGCTGCACAAGGATTTACTTATGTCAATTGCACCTTTGATTCTGAAAAACTTGTATTCATCCTCTGAATTAATTTTGGAACTGACACACATTATGCCACTAATTAATCGAATGTATCTCCAGGTCCGTCATCTTGAACTCAAGAAAGAAAAGGAAGTTGAAAGAGAAAATCTTGTCAGGTTTCTGCTGGATGCAATGGCGATACAGTTTAAAAATCCTTCCATTTGGAATTAGGTTTGTCCTTCCAAAGCAATACTTTTCTGGTGAGTGAATCAGGGTGCTGAAATATCTTGCATAATTTCTTCATAAAAGCTTGCTTGTGAAAATAGTCACAACAATAGTACAATAGTAGCTGTTACTATCTGTGCCATTTATAGCTGCCTTTATATGGTGTATCAATTGATTATCCAGCTCTACGCTGTTTCCACATATTGTTCAGTTTTCCAGCAACTCTGTTGACTCCAGGAGAACCACACTGTTGATTGAGTTATGGCTCATCTTCGGAAATCGAGAAAATCAACATGAAGTTTTGCAGCGTTTTCTATTCTTGTCTGAAGAGTTTTTAGGGTTCCTCACTTTGTATTTGAATTTGAAAATTTGTATATATTTCATAAGTCAACTTGTTTAATGAATCAGAACTAGAAATTATTGAGAGACAGATAAATTTTTTGTTCTTGATATGTTAAAAGCGTTCTGCAACAGTATGTGAAAAAGCATCTCCTTCATTTGGCCTGACATGAACTTTTCAACTATGGCATGGTTTCAGAGCACTGTGTTCCCAGTCACTTTTATTTTTATGTTGTTTATTATTGTGCGGCTAACTTGCTAGGTTTGTATTTTTTTGTTTTCCTGGTATCCTATTGATTGAATTTTGTATGCTTCATCCCTTGATTTCATATATAGAACGGGCCAAGCAAAAGCCTTGATTTCATGCTTGTAATATCTAGCTGAACGGGGTACCCAGGCCTATAACCATCAAAGCCAATACGCATCTCTCACTATAACAAAATAATAAAGAAGATTTTTTTTTTTTTTTTCCGGTCTGAATGATGTCCATGACATGATCAGGCAAAGCCATGGCTGCCAATTGGTGAATGCTTAGACCATCTTTGAACGTGTCATCTGTCGGCCTTTCTCCAGTGAAAAGCTCTAGCAACAATATCCCATAGCTATAAATGTCTCCCAGTATAGAAACTTGACCTCCCATGCCATACTCTGCCATTCATTTACATATAGAGACTTAATTTTTTCGTAGTAATAAGTTATTTGGAACATAAGAAAATGAGAATCATAGACTCATACCTGGAGGAATGTAGCCTATCGAACCCCTTAGCCCCACGGACATGGTTTGATTTTTGGAAGAATTATCTGATGCTTCCAAGAGGAACCTTGCTAAACCAAAGTCACCAACATGGGCTACCATATCTTCATCCAGAAGAACATTGCTCGGCTTTGGATCACAATGAACAACGGGAGTTTCATAACGATGGTGGAGATAATCTAATGCAGAAGCAACATCAATGGCAATATTCAATCTTTCCATAATATTCAATCTCATAATTCGAGATTGCTCCTCATCTCTTGGACACAACCACGCATCTAGACTTCCATTTTCCATGAACTCGAAAACTAGGCTTTTGAAGTCATTACCCTGATCATCAATGCTTGAGCAAACAGTTATGATCTGGAGAAGATTTCGATGCCTTACACTTCTCAAAGCTTTGCATTCATCAACGAAACTCTTGGAAGCACCTTCTTGTTGAAGGTTTAATACCCTCACGGCAACTATTGTTCCATCATTGGAGAGTACCCCTTTGTAAACAGAACCATAACTTCCTGAACCAATCAGATTGTCCAAAGAGAATCCATTAGTTGATTGAATGAGTTCAAAGTAAGACACCTGATTTCCAATCCTTATATGAATGCGAAGTTACAGTTCTACCTCTTGACATTTTCACCATTGAACAAAGAGCAATGAAGAATGACAGAGTAATTATGAATGCAATTGCACAAGTTTAAGGAACTACCACTTTTAAGGCAAGTAGTCCTTGAGATGAACGAGGCTTTTTGCTGGAGCACGTTGGTAGAAATAATTTTGGGATGCCACCGCAGAGCCTAGCATTTGAAAAGATCCCTTCTTTCGGCAATTCACCCTTGAAATCATTGTGGGAAAGGTTGAGATGCTTAAGAAATCTAAACTTGCTCAGAAACTTAGGAATCTGCCCAGATAAGGTGTTCCTTGAAATATATATTTCTTCCAATCCTCTTAAATCTTTAAGAGATTGAGGAATTGCTCCTGCAAATTCATTACCTTCCAAATGCAAGCACGCCAAAGTAATACAACTGCTAAGGCTTCTTGGGATTTCACCAGATAACTTATTTCTTGATACATCTAGCTCTGTGAGATGTACCAAGTCACCCACTTCCGATGGCAACGAACCGGTCAACGAATTGTTAGACATTCTCAAAGAAACCAAAAGAGATGAAAGCATAAGAAGCTGTTTAGCTATGGTGCCAGATAGATTGTTACTAGAAAGGTTAAGCATTAGTAGATTTTGGCAGTTTCCAAGACTTTTAGGTATACTGCCCTCAAACCTACTCTCTTGCATGTAAAGCCTTGTCAATGAAGTCAAATTTCCTATGGAGAATGGGATTAGACCAGAAAATTTGTTAGCATTTAAGAATAGTCCTTATAACTTCTAAAGCTTCCCAATTTCACCAGGGACACTACCACCCAAATCATTACCTTCCACTCCGAAAGCACTCAAATTTACAAGATTTCCAATGCCTCTAGGGATGCTTCCATGTATCATATTGACACCCAAAGTAGGAATTTTTAGCTGGGTAGAAAGGTTGGCTATGGATCCTGGAAATTCTCCTTCGAAACGATTACGGATAAGACCCAACACCTCTAGATTAGTACAATTAGCCAGGACACATAAAACTCAAGTCACCGGCTTTCCCACTTCCCAATCTGTTTTCATCAAAGTTTAGTTTGACCAAGCTTTGCAGCTTTCCAAAACTTTCACCAGGAAGTTTTCCAGTGAAGCCATTTCGAGCAAAATCAAGAACCTGAAGTCCAGAAGCATTTGACAACGATGCAGGAATGTTCCTTGTGAAACTGTTGGCACCGCCGACAAACACCTGGAGATTAGGAAGAGTAATGCCGGCATTTGGTGGCAGCTCTCCATGAAGCTGATTCTGAGTGACACCAAAAATATATATGGAAGAAATATTATAGATTGAAGCGGGGACCATACCAGACAAATTATTCCTTCCAAGCCTGAATGATCCCAAGCTTTTCAGACGCCCGAGCTCATTCCTAATGCTTCCTTGGAGATTGTTGCCGCCAAGGGAGAGACTGTTCAAAGAAGAAAGGTTCACTATCCAACTTGGGATTGTTCAACTGAGATTGTTTCCATCAAGCCATATGTGAGTTAAGCTCAACATCAAACTGAGCTGCTTCGGGATCGATCCAACAAGCTCATTGGAAACAAGACTGAGCACTTTCAGCTGCGTGCAGTGATATATTTGTTGGGATTTCCCCACCAAAGGAATTCATTGCAGATGTAGCAGACGGCCGATTTCTTAAGGAATTTCGCAATGAAAGTTGTTGTCAATGAGGTTGATTCCTGTAAGATATGTTAGGTTTCCTATAGAAGGTGGTAAGGAGCCTGCCAGTTTTTGAGAATCCAGTTTCAAGATCACCACTCTTTCGCTCGAAACGCTGCACGTAACGCCTGTCCAGCTTCAGAGTTGAGTCGAATCATTCCATGAGCTCATGACATGGAGAGGATCTTCGGTTATTCTTCTCTTGAATTCGAGCAACGCCATGCAATCGGGTTCCTTTCTGAAATTGGTGGCTAGTTTTGCAGATGCCAGACCTACGCTCATGCATAAAAGAACAAACCATTCATTGAACAAAAAAATCTGCCTACGTCGAGCACCAGAATGCTGCATCTTGTAGTAGATGCAGGTTTCAGATCATGACCGAATAAATATGTATAATATACGTATATAAAGAAAAACCAAGTTTCATTTTACAAAGTCTAAAGAAAAGAAGTTTATGGCATATAGCAAAAATGTTGATGATATTGCAGGAGGACCACAAAAATTGTGAATGGTCCTGCAAGAGAAATGTGAAGAAATTTTGGTTCAATAATGTCTCTAGCTTCAATTTTGGTATGTGGATGTGAGATTGAAGTTGGGAAGCAATTATATTCATAGGCCTGACCAATTTGGTCAAAATTTTTTATTTCATTATGGGGGATAAGATTTTTAGTTGAGAACTTGGAAGCATTTTCTTCTTCGTTTTTTATTTATTTATTACAATGTGATTTATCAATCTGATACTGTTGGAACAGATCATTACTTCAAAATTTACTTTCATATTCTTTCTATTTCACAACAACGTATATAATTAATATACGGTTTTCTAGTCAACAACAGCCCTTATAGCTCAGTGGTAGAGCGTCAGTCTTGTAAACTGAAGGTCCGTAGTTCGATCCTGCGTGAGGGCATCTTATTTTTTTCTTTATTAAACTACGTTGGAAAATGAATCAGCAGCCACGTGATTTTTATTCAAGTTTGCTGAATTATTTTAAACTTATTTTTTAACAATGACGATATTCTAAGCTATTTTAATGTATAGGGAGGGAGTTCGAACTCGGATGCAAGGGAATCGAGGGGTGCCCGCATGCGCTTTTAAACCGGGAAGGTCCCTAGAAGGGACTAACCTGGGCTATAGCCCATGTGAGTTGTTATTCTATCAGCCTAAAATTTAATTGAGAGTTTCACTATTATGCCAAATATAGGGACCCAAATTATAAAAAACATCCTACATGAAATGAACTTTAGAAACACATCCAAATTCCATTTACAATATAAAAATGAGGCTTCGAATTTTTTTAAAATTACAAAACTGTCATCGATTTTTTGCAACAAGTATAACCCCAAAACCTCATAAAGAAAACAGGACATCAAAGTAATTTAATAATCAAATTCAAATTCAACAGGGCCGGGTGTCCTGTTTCGGGTTTGTTTATAAAAATCAAATGGTGTAGGATTTATCTATATCACTAGTGCTAAAAATGGATATATAACTAAATACCTCTATTTTAGCCCACCCATTTCTACTAATGACAATCATGCCACACTCACATTCAAAGACTCACACCAAACCAAGGCTCAAAGCTCATCCAACAATACACTCAAGGAAAAAAAGATAAGACAAACTAATGAATTCAATTCTCTTTGACTATTCCAAGACATTCTTGTGCAAGACATCTATATAGGACATTTTTTTAGCCTACTGCGAACTTCTCTTTATTTAATTTTTTTATGAACATCCTACTACTAATTTTCCTTTCACTGATAACCATCTTCACACATAATCCCTTTAAGTGAAAAAATAAATAAATAAAAGAAAAAATTAGTATGCTCAGTAGCTGCACCTTTATGTTTCACTCTCCGGTGCGTACATAAGATAATTTTAGCCCATTCCATTTTAAAATTCTAGGTCCGTCCCTACTTTTAAAACTTATTGGCGTAGCCGACGGTGCTTTTAAACGTTATTTTAGTCTCCAATTTTTTTTTTTCGCTGGCAGAACTTGTAAGTCCACTATCAACACAGAAATTCCAGTTTCTAAACCACCTCCATCAGCATAAATTAAATTGCCTGTGTAAAATTTGACATGTAAATAAATAGCTAAGAAATATTTAAATGCAGCTGGTACACAACTGAAAACAAAATAGAAGAATACAGTCTTACTAAGATGTTGCAATTTAGTGTGAAAGGAGAATTTGATTCAACAAATTGTTAGAACTGAATAGACAAAAGAAGAGCTGAAATTTGGTAGTTGAGAAACTTACATCCTCCCATTAATCTTTTTACATTTCATCCTCCAAGAAAATAAATGCAAGCAAACCTGTGAACATGGATCAAGTTTGATAAGCTTGGTTGGTCAGTTTAAAAGTTGTGCTGCAAGAACAACTTCTCTTGAGGTGAAGCAGGTCCAATCTCTTCCTCCAAACTCCTCAACCCATCACCACCGCTCCCACAATTGCCCAAGTTTCTAGCTTCTAAGTTCTTCCCATCAGCATCGATGTCTGAGACCGAGGACTTCCTCCTTTGGGAAGAGGCAACACTTGGGAATGTGATCCATGAAGGAGCTCTGAATTCGAACCTTTGATCCTCCGATTCTACCACATCAGTGTCGACCGACCTGTTTGAAGATCTTTGGGAGGACTTTTTGTGCAATCTACTGCTTCCCAGTACCACCTCAGTTGGCAAAATAGGTTGCTCGTTGCACGGGCTGCCCATTAACAGCGCAAGAGCTCGTTCTAGTGCTGTCGTCACTTTATCCATTGATGGCCTCTCCTTCCCTCTCATTCTCACACACTTGCAGGCTACATTGGCAATTCTTTTCAAGGCTTCAAGGTCAGGTGGGGGTTTCAAAACTGGATCCAGAATTGCATTTATCTCTCCTGACTTGATAAGAGGCACTGCCCATTCAACTATGTTTCCATCTTCATATTGCATATCAATGGCTTTTCTGCCACTAAGAATCTCCAACAGCAAAACACCAAAACTATAAACATCAGATTTGGTTGTAAGGTAGTGAAGTCTGTAGTACTCAGGATCAAGATACCCAAGAGTTCCAGCTGGTAGCTCCGCCAATGGGGATCCACTATCTGCAGGTCCCAATAATGATAAACCAAAATCAGACACTCGAGCATTGTGTTCCTCATCAATGAGGATGTTTGAAGACTTAATGTCTCGATGAATCACCGGTGGGCAAGCGTAACCGTGCAAGTATTCAATTCCCCGAGCTGCCTGGACTGCAATAGTGACCCTTCGAACCCAATCCAATTGCTCTTTCAAGGATTTGTTCTTTCCATGGAGGTGTTGATGCAATGATCCATGAGCCATGAACTCATAAACAAGAAGCCTTTCCCCACCTTCTTCACAATAGCCAAGCAGATTGAGTAAATGCGCATGGTTTAATCTTGAGAGCAAGTCTAGCTCTGTATGGAACTCTTTCGAATTCTTTTGCATGTTAGGAGATACTATAGCCCTTTTGACAGCAACAACTGTCCCATCTTTCAAAACACCTCTGAAAACACAGGAGAAGCTACCCTTTCCCACAACAGACACTTCTTCAAAGCCGGCTGTAGCCCTTTCAAGCTCCTCATAAGTGAACATCTGAGCCCTCCTTATCTTCAGGTCATCCAAATCGGGACGAATCTTACCATTGTCTTTATGGAAAGGAGAATCACTCCTACTATTCTTTTTAGAGTTCGAATCTTTTGCTACGCACTGACAGTCTCGTAACTTATAGCGAACATATAAAAATGCAGTTATAGACACAACACTAACCAAGAACACAGCAAAGGCAATCTCTGCAATTATGATAGGTAATTGCATTGACCAAAACCTTTCATTCGTCTTGGCATCGGAATATGAAGATGAACAATTTGAAAAGCAGTCAGCTGAGTAACAATTGGAACAGTTATATTCACAAAGTCTATCAGATTTCAGATATTTGCAAGAGGCACTCTCATGACTAAACTCGTAGAAACCAGGAGAACAAGGAGTGGACTTGCAGAATCCAGGTGCCACAGCTATGGGAAGAGAAGTTGGAAATCCAAGACCCCAACAAACAGGTAAGAAAGATTTGTCAGCAATAACTCCACAAGTGAAGTAATTTCCAGCAGCAATCTCATAAACCTTCTTACTTTTAGGAGCCGGTGTACTTGGTTTCACAATAAATCCCCAACAAATCACCCCACGGTCAGAGCTCTTAATCCCACAAGCGTGGAACTTCCCTCCCACAACTGAGAGCATTGGTTCATTTGGGGCCAAATCAACATTCCCTTGACCTGAATGCGCCACTGAGATTTCTTCTTCAATGTCCAAGCTTCTTCCCCAACAATAGGGTCTAGAATTCACACTCTCTAAAATCCCACATACATGATACCCACCAGCTGCAATCTTCCGAAACCTGAATTTTTTCGGGATCAAGCTGATAACCCTGCTACTAGTCTCATCACCCCAGCAAAAGACTGTTCTGTTCTGAGAAAACAATCCACAATTGAATTCTGAGCCTGCTGATATTGACTGAACCTGTCCATCAAACACATAGCTTTTGGTCATGTTGTAACCCCAACAATCAACAAAAGAGGTGTTTCTGAGTCTGCCGGTTAAAGGTTTTCGCAATCCACACAAATGGTAATCACCAGCACTGATTTCTATATATTGAGCTTCTTTAATAATGGGTTGAGGGACACCCATTTGGATATAACCACTGCTTCCCCAACAATATGGCTGGTTGGACTCCATGAGAAGTCCACAAACAAAGCCATCACCAGCAGTTAGACCAATAAATGGGAAACGACTTGGAGTTCCATATGTTATTGCCTTGTTTGATCCATAACAGGTCACAAGATGAGACCCATCTAACTTTAAACCACAAAAAACTGGACCTTTCTCCCCATAAGAAACTGCAATGGCTGACATGGAACCTAGTCCTGAAGCTAAACACCATAAATCTGATAAAATTGCAAGTTTAACAAGAAACCCAGCTCTCAGTATGCTGATATTAAGGACCCAGATCAGGAAATCTTTTAAAAAAATCCCCATTACAAGCCAATATAACTATTCAAAGATAAAATTTACTCCACCACCTAAAGTTTCTGACTTTTCCTTCTGGCCAATTTGAAATGAGAAAGATATCCACCACAGTTCAACACAACAAAGCAGCATATATTGCAGTACTCTGCAAGGAAAAAGCTGTCCTTTTGAAGATTTTCTAAAGAACTGAAACGACATTATACTCCCCTTTTCTCCATAATGGAAATGAAGAAAAAGGCAACGATGAAACTAAGTCGCCATGAATTAACAGAAAAAATAGGTGAATGTGCAACAAACCCACGTACCAGAAGCTACAGATCAGCCAAACCAAGCAGGAACAAATCAGAAAAGCCCCTTCTGAAACAGAGAACTTTTGCAGAAGATTAGTAAAGGCAACAACTTTAAGGAAACCCACAACTACCTATGCTCTGTTTATCAACATCCTTCTGTGAAAACCTCCTGTTTCTTCACTTTCTGCTGAAAAATAAATCTTAGCACTAAAAAATGATTCCAAGATTTCTCCAAATTTGAATCAGAAACAGAAACTAAATAACCTTTTGGACCACGTACTTAGTTTTGTTTCAGGCTCATCTACAAAACTCAAAAATGGGAACAATAATCTGGTACTTCTCTGTCCATAAAGTTTTGCTTTGAATGTGTGTTGGGTGGTAAGGTGAATTTCTTGAAGGGAAATTAAAGAAAGATGGATTGTTGCATGTGGTTGCAAGCAAGAATTTAGAGAGAGAAGCATTTAATGCAATGAAACTGCAGCTTCTGAATAGGACCTTAGTGTTGGTGAGGACAATAAATGAGAAGTTAATGCAATTTCATCTTTTCATGCCTGGATTGGAGCACACTTGGCTACCTTTCTGGAATTTTTTTTAAAAAAATTACTTTTTGTGAAGAATGCATCCAAATTTTGCTCCCCTTATTCTTGTTTTTCCTACTCAGTCATGGTTTTCAATATTTTTGTTTTCTTTTGCATGCATGACGTTTATTTTTTGGCTATCATCATGTGTTCCCTTGATCATTTTTGAATGGAAATTTCTAACAAAATTAAAATACTTTTTTATCCGGCAATTTTACATGTTTATTGTATAAATTGGCGTCATCAATTATTTGTGATTGCGCTTGTATAAAACATAATAATTTGCAAGTTCGTATCAATAAATTATAAATACTAAAACAGAAGGAGAGTTGAATTTTTACTGCAGGCCTGTGAAGTAGAGAGAGAACTTTTTCTTTTGATATAAGGAATATTTGAAGAATTGAAAGTCAAACAGATAACTTCGAGTGCATGAGTAACTATTTAAGGAATACAATTCCCTTGTATCTTGCCAAGAACTTTGTTAGTCACATAGTTCGATCAATGAATTTGACTTCAAGTGGTGACAAACGGATATTGTTGTCGTCTTTAATTTTTTTTTTTTTTTTGGGGTCGAAATTGTCGTCTTTAATTAAGTACTAGAGCTTTAACTCATTTGGATGACATAAACCATCTCGGGAAGATGACGACTGGATTGTCAGGGCTAAGGCTTGCTTAGGATTTTATTTTTATTTTTTTTATTTTGGGTCTGAAAGGCTTGCTTAGGATTAAGAATTCTAAAGTGAGGTTCTAGCCATGGGAAGTTGGGAACTTTGACATTTCAAAGAGGGTATGTGCCAAGAAGTGCTTTTCCTAAAGAGGCAATTGACGTTATAAGACATAAGTGATGATAGATAAAAATGGATCTCGAGCCTTTACATTTAGCATTCGTGCATTTATGCACATTTAAAGGGATGTTAACCATTAGATTGATATAATGAATTTTAATAAGTCCACATCAGCATTTCTTTACACCTTATGTGTATTTAATAGCTTTGAAATAAAATATTAAAAATACAAAAAAATAGTCTTAGACCCAACCCAGCCTCACTCGGCCCAGACCTAAATCATTCCCACCGGTTGCTGCTATCCATGGCCACCTCCTCTCTTTGTGCCATCCATAGTCCTATCGTAGTATTTAATATGGAATTATTGTCTCAACAGCAAGCAAGTACTCCAAAATTAAACTGCAATTGAAAATCCTAGAGGTGCGTACCAACTATAGGAACTAGTGAAGGTGTGTGTGAGAGAAAAGAAAAGAGAGTGAGAGGCAGCCGCAATTGGTGGGCATTATAGGGGGTGGGTTGGGGAGGAAGGCGGTTGCTATTTGATGGGATTTTTTATTTTTTATTTTAATTTCAAAGATATACGTATAATAAGGTGCAAATTGTGAGTTTTGGTATAATACAATTATGCTGAAGTGGACTTATTAAAATTCATCATATCAATCTAATGGTTAACATCCTTTTAAATGCGTGTAAATGCACGAATGCTAAATGCATAGGCTCGGGATCCGATAAAGAGATCATATTTTCATATATTCCTAAGAAATGCTATATTTTCTACACATCTTTTCTACTAGGGCATTCATTATTGAAGCAAATACTCAATTCCAACAATTCAATGCATACTAGAATTATAAGCAAGCGCGGATCAATTCCAACAATTCAATGCATACTAGAATTCAATGCATACTAGATATACAAGGATTTGAACAAGTGTCTCTTCTTTACTAGAGTGTCAGCTACCATATTAATTCCTCGGTATGGATACAGTAGGAACTCATTGAAGCCCATGTCTCAATGCTAAAACGAAACCATCAAAACTTATTTTAAAATGTTGTGATTTAGGAGGGCTCCAAGCATGAGATTTGACATTAACATAACACATCTTGGGCATGAGATAGGGTGGGATCATGATTAGGTTCAATTTCTCTTGTAAGAAAAGAAACAAAAGTCTCCACGGAGACAAATCCAGAAGACACAAAATTTGATAGTAAAGCAAAATTTCAGTTTTAATAAATAAATATATAATTTTTAAAAAAAATTAATTAGAAAATGACAAGCGGTTATTTTGGATTTTTCTCTCCAAATAAACTCTATATGGATGCTTTTGTTTTAATTGCTTCTAAATTGAAGATTATTATCTCATAATCTAAGGAGATTTGGATGATCCAAAGTAGTGGGGAGGACCAACCTCAGTTTACCTTAACGGAGAGCCCATATCAAGCACTGAACATTTATTAATTTAATACATATCTTAGTTTTCAAAGAGTTTGGTGGGTGATATGCTCAAGGAATTTTATATTGGTCTCTTATATGATTTTGTAATTATAAATTAATGAATAATTAACAACATCTCATCCTGATTTGCATATTACATGTTCCCAATGCCAATCCAAAAAAATTGGACGATTCATTTCATGCTAGAAATTTCTTAATTATATACAGATATTATGGAAATTTGTTCCTTACAGGCTCAGCAGAGCACGAAACACAATCTAGGAGCAAATCAAAGGGATGGGGGACTACGAGGCCAGATTATGGAGTGATTATATAACGTTTCCTTATAGAACATTATGGTAGAGTATGGGCACGTGGTATATCTTGTACACGTGTTATTATATATAAGTGGATATTTATTGAAACTATTCCTTAAAAATAAGGAAACTAAACTATATCGTTCACCCATATTATAACACGTGCACAAGATGTACCATGTGTACATACTACCGTAGTAGTCTATAATTTCTCCAGATTTGTAGGCAGCAAATCACATGCATGCTTAACATATACCCAAAACAAATTTCATGATTTCAAAATAAATTAAGAAATATATTTGTGCTTACCATGGCTTTACTTTTTGAAAAAAAAAAAAGGGAACCACAGTTTGATTTTTGACCAAGATTATGTTATGAATATTTAATATTAAAAATAAAATTGTTTTGTATTTAAAATTGGATTTCACATGCTTGATCTTGGTTTTACCAGATTACAATAATATTTATTCTTCATTCATTCTTGTGGTCCTTGCAAAAGCTGTAGCCTCCTCCTGATCGAGTGAGGCAGTCAATGCGCCGTTGTTGTTGTTGTCGCGCCTATGCCCAGAGTTTGGGGATTGCTTTTATTTATTTTATTTTTATTTTTTATTTGTTTAGTTGGTGAGAGGAATAAATGGACTCCGAAAAAATATTTAAAATTTAAAAGCAAAACACAACACAGGGTGGAAAGCAACGCATATGAACATGTAACATTAACTGGAGCTGTTTGAAATTACATAGCAACCCATGGCCGATGACCTTAAGACAACCAAAAAAAAAAAAAAAAAAGACTAGGAATTCATATTCTCCCCTTCTATGTATAGTTTAATCATATGACTCAAAATAGGAAGACCTTACATCCCCTAGATTTTGGATTTAGCTCTCCTTCAGTGGTAAAAATAAAAGAAAAGCAGTGTGCTAAATTTATAGGTCTTTGCTAAATTAGATGTGTGTGTGTGTTTTTTTTTCCTCCTCGGGATATCAATTACTTAGTACTTAACGGACATCATTCGGCCCTTGGTCAGCTCTTTGAGGAGGTTGGCCCAAATTCAACTCAAAGCTTGTTTTAGACTAAAGTTATAGGCTAGCTAATACGATTCATTATTTGAGTCCAATGTGGCATGACCCATCTAGACTCACCTAAGTCCGCACAATTTTATATTTAAAATGTCATTTGCAAAAGGGAGGTCTTGAGCACAAGCAGGCAACGCTGCCGCCAATTACCTCCAAATTGGAAGGGCCCCAATTTGAATAAACCTCTATATATACATACGTATGTTACTTAAAAATCATGCTATATATATTAATATTATGTTAGGCCCAAATATTGTATATAAAAACAAAAAGCCCAATTATGCAAATTAAAACTAAAAAGAGGAAACTCAGTAAGGGCCAATGTTATTTAAACTTATAAATGTATTCAATTAAGATTTTAAAAGAGTTAAACGGAGTTATAAAGTTTATAGAGTTCATATTTCAATTTATTTCTATAAACTCCACATAGAGTTTGATTGAATTCCTAGATTGATTTTAATGGTGTTTGTTAGAGTTTTATCATAAATTTTAAAAGAGTTGATTAAAGTTCTAAAATGTATTTTTTTTTTGGGGGGCTGTTTATCGTTTTTCTAGATGTTCAAAAGAAAAAGTACCTTTACAAAAACATTTTGTAAAGAACGTCCAAACCAAATACATCCAAAGAAAATAAAAGAAGGGCATCTATTTTGTTCAAATGTGCAACCAAATAAGGATTTATGTTTGCATGTTTATGAAAAATATGCAAAACTAAAAACATAAAAGTAATTTCAAGACCAAAAAAATGACAAGTAAACTATAATTCCAAATGCATAAAAACGAATAAGTATATGCTTCATTGCTCATCTTTGACTCCCATCATTCATGGCATATCTCCACATATCTGAAGATATCCCAACCGTCCATTGGTTAGCATTCTTGACAACAACTGTTCATATTATGATGGCAACAACTTGTTTGATGTACAACAACAAATATGTTGATGTTCATATATGATGGCAACAACAACAACTATTCAAGCAGCAACTGTTCATATTATATGCTACTATTCATCGATATATGGTGATGTACAGCAAGAACAAATATTCAAACATATGATGAAGATCATACATATATGAAAAGAGAGGAGATTTTTTTACCTCCACTTGACAAGCACACATGTTCAAGGATTGGAAAGCATAGAACACGTTCAAAGTTTCTAGGGTTGACATAAGATTGTTAGTGCCTTTTTTATTTATACTTACCACTTTAATTTCTAACGAAATCGGGCAACTTATTAATTCCTTCAAAATAAATTACTTTTTGAATACACCTAAATTTTGTTTGACTTTTAAAAAGTCATA